AAATTGCGAGGTCCCGGAACAAAGCGGGGTAACGGATCCAGCATGTGATTAGAGGAGGGAGAGGTAACGGACCATTCGCATAATCACATTGGTTGACCAGTTTAAGTGATTAACAGCGTGCATCAGTTGCTTGTAGGGTCCGTACGGTCATGAATAACCTGGAAAAGCCATGACATTTTAAACCAGCAATTTCCAGGCCTGAAATGTTTTGAAAAAGTTGTGGAATTTTATTTTTCAAATCTCTGTATAATAGAGTTATATTTAATCAGGTCCTAAATTTCAGTGTGGGATTGTGTGTAGCTATATCGCATAGCTTTACTAATTTACTCAGCTTTCAAGTTTATAATGAGGGAAATTCCTGCATTTATTCAATATAGCATGTAGGTTAGATGAGCAAATAAATCCACACAAACTATAAGATTAAATCAGTCAGTTGAAACCAGAGTTTGAAATCATGAACTCTCTCAGACAACTCTATCTTGTCTGCACTACAACGAGCTGCGATACAAGACTTTCGCTCGCATTTCGGGACAGCTGACAGAACTGTCACTTGACTAATCGGGTCATTGTTGCATTGTCACAAAAATTGATAATTTGCACATCTTAAGTATTTTAAGCCATTTGGTACTCGCGTGCTCCAAAGACTGTATTCTGTGCGTTCACACAGTCACATCCAAAGTTTTTTATTTTTTATTTAGCTGTTATTTTTCGTAGTTTGTTGAGCTTAAGCGACCAAATACACACAAAATGATGTCTAAATGGCCATCCTGGCAAGTATCCTCTTTAGCACAGTAGGTCCCTAAATGTAAACAGTTGAGATAGAAAGTGCATAAGTAACAGTATGGATCCATGCATTCGGTCTTGTGTGAGCAGTCTCATGTGAGCAGCCGTTCACATGTTACATCTTTTGCACGCTGAAGTTTATTTGAAATGTAGCTAAATGTCGGCTGCAATAAAACAATAAACGGGCACTTATTTTTCATTGTTTGTTCAGCTTAAGTGATCTAAATGGCCGTCCTGGCGAGTATCCTCCTTAGCACAGTAGGTTCCTAAGTGTAAACAGGTAAGAAAGAAAACGCATGTGTAACAGTATGGATCCGTGCATTCGGTCTTGTGTGAACAGCCTCATGTGAGCAGCCGTTCACATGTCTCGTCTTTTGCGCGCTGAAGTTTATTTCAAATGTAGATGTGCAGCAAGCGTGCTCATAATATGAGATTTTTCATGAAATAGATGCACGCTACAGGTCAGCATGAACGTCTTTCATTGGCGCGTGAGGAGGGGGATCCGCCAAAATGAGGTGCCGGATCGGATTTCGGAGGTGCCGGGTTCAGATGCGGCTTGTTCCGGCACTAATTAAGCCCTGTATATATATAGATTAATAAAATAATATCTTCCAGAGTTTCCGAGTTTGTTCAGTAACAAACAAACTCTTTTTAGTTCAGATACACCTGATTGAATTTTATGATTTTAAAAACCATTTGTTCTAAAGGTAATGCTTAGATATAAATTCTACACAGTTTTCATACGTAAATTAAAATGTCAATTAAAAGCTTTTGAAATGTACAAATTAGACAGGACAGTGAGAGAAAAGCAGCCAACAGCCAGGATGTACCTCATGAAATTTCTGCAGCAAGGTAAGCAGCTCATATTGGTAGTTTTGAAGCTGTATCACTGCATTCTCGCCCCCTTGTTTGAATTTCTCATTAATGTCGGAGCCGAACTCCGGAGCACTAGGGCTGTCAAAATGACTGAAAAACTAAAGTCAAATTTTGTACTTAAATATTATCAAAATTCGAATTATATTCGAATTTAAAATGCATAATTTCAGTAAGGGTGAAGAAAAGTTTTTGGCTTCTCTTCTGAGGCCACACGAGGGCGCATTGAGCAAAATATTGCTAATGCACGTTTACTCAAAACATAAGATAAAATGACTATCTATGAAAAAAGTGCATAATGTTTAAAATAATGTCTATAAACCAATTATAATTAATTAAGTTGCTTAAACAACTATAAACAAAACAGCATGTATGTATGCATAGTTTAATACAAAGGGCGGAAAGCCAATCACACAGAGTCCATTTCTCATTTGAAAACATGAAATGCAGTGGGATAGGGAAAAAAACCTGCCATAAAGTCTCGATATATGTTTTTTTCAAAGTTAAACTTGCATTAATTTTACATGGCTTTCTAAACATGCGGCTCCTTTGTGCGAGATGCGAGTGCAGCGGTGATAGATGTCCCTCTAGAAAATGCGCGAAATATGTGTTCTGCGTGAATGGCTTGGTATCAGTTTTGACGTAAACAAGATCTTCTCCGCATTGATGTTCTCTTTTTCCGCAATATTTTTAATGAACAACACGGCAGCACTGCATCTAGTGGCTTCAACTGGATAGGCTAACAAAAACATTATAATGCAATGACACTTACACCTCGTGCGCCACTGATAAGGCTGCCTCCTTAACGCACACCTAAAATTCGAATGCAACGTTTTTGCATTAGAATGTGGATTTTTATTTTAAATTCGACAAATATTCGAAATTCAAAAAAATTTGGACAGCCCTACAAAGCACATAATGTGCTTCATGAGCTGACGACACACCAGACTTCTGTCAGAACGTAACACTGCCACGGTATGTGCTGCCTGTCCAAGCTTTGCTTACCCTTCCCCAAGTCCTTATTTCTGTAAACATTCACCTCACTCTATTAAGAATCATTACAGCTCTCTGCTAATGGAAACTGTCCCACATTCCAAATAAGTAGAAAGGAGGTAGAATGTGTGCTACAACCCTCGTTTAATGAGCGGCTCTTGCTATTGAGGTTTCAATGAGTCTTTTATTCACACCTTGGCTGCTGGATAGTGGTGTGTAAAAATTTTTTGTCTCTCATTAAAGTGTCTCTTTGTGGCCTAAACATTTGCTTTCTGAAGTAAAATGACAGCATCAAAATTTCATGTACTGTAGCAATCCAATACTCCACCAAACAGCAGTGAACAATTTTAACATGCAACTAAGGGGGTGTAAAATATTCAAAGTAGAAAAACATGAAGAGTAACAACCAAAAACCAGAGTAAAGACCCAAAGCCTAGAAATACTGTCTACTGAGAATAAAATATTAAAAGTGCTGGTAAATTAGCAGTTTTCTGGGATGAGAAGTAGGAATATTACCGGTAGCATTAATCTGCCAATTTTGTGACAATTTAGCAAGATTAAAGGGGTCATATGATGCAATTTCAAGTTTTCCTTTCTCTTTGGAGTGTTACAAGCTGTTCGTGAATAGATAAGATCCCTAAAGTTGCAAAGACTAAAGTCTCAAATCCAAAGAGATATTCTTTATGAAAAGTTAAGACTCGTCCACGCCCTCCTAAAACGCCTCATTTAAACACGCATCACAGTATGTTAAGGGGCGTAACATTTCCGTCACATGCTTGAGGTATTCAGCCAATCACAACGCACTGGATAGCTGGCCAATCAGCATACACCTCGCTTTTCAGAACGATGAGCTTTGTAAAAATCGATGCGTTTCAGAAAGGCGGGGCATAGAGGAGAAACAATAATGTACAGTATGTGGAAAATAATGTGTTTTTTGAACCTTAAACCGCATAAACACATTGCATTACACCAAATACACAAAATAATGTTCTTTTTAGCAACGTCATGACCCCTTTAATATGCAAAATCGGCTACTGATTGAACAGTGCTACTGTATATTGTTTAATCAATGTGGTTCAAACAATGAAGGGGTGAACATGTTACTGTGGTTTTGGGAAACAGTCATGAGAAGCTAGTTAATTTCCCTAACGTTGCATACAATGATGGTTTAGCAGCAAGTTACGTCACTGTACAGGAAACACACCCCTGTTTGTGTTGGTCTCTATACATACTTCCATATTAGTTATGACAAACAAAAATGATCCAAATAGATTAAGTAAACTTCCATTTAACAAATTTCAATTGATTACATAAAATAAAATATCATTGTGAACATTTTTTTTTGCATTGTGTTGCTAGTAGTCACACAAATCTTAGCTGGTGAAGCTAGTGAAACAACACTGACCTTCTGATGAAACTTATGAAGCAATGAAGCATTTTTTTTATAGGAACACATTGTTTTAGACCTCACTACGCAAACTGCACCGACGGCAGTGCAGAAGCTCTGTTAAACACATGGAAAATGATGGCGCGTTTCAGCAATATCAATGCTGAGACCTGAGACTTTCTTTTTTTTGGTGATTCAAATGCCTATAAATGATCTCAGATGAAACAGACATGCTCCATGTGCACCAATTTACAATATGTTTCATTGTTTTCGGTAAACATTCAGGCCAGAGACAAAAACCTTCTTCATTGTATCTAATTGGTTCTTGTGGAAAAATCCTACTTAAAAGCACATCTGTATGTCTGGAGAAGATTCAAAACAAAGCAACAGTAATTCTGGATGCACTTGAATGGGATCAGAAGCCTCTTTTGTCTAAATGATGAACATCCTAATGCTGGACTGATGTAAACTATCTCAGCTACAGAAACGAGACAAACCACCTTCTCCTCTATTTATGGTTTCTTTCTTCTCATGGAAAGCAGATTTCGGCAATCATAACAGAGGACTGAAGCTGTATGTGACATCTGGAGTCCTGATGTGCTTTTGCAAAATCATGTAGCCACTAATCATTAACGTCATAGAAGGATCAACTGTAACACTTTTAAAATCATCACTGTTATTCACTGATTATCTTCAGTGAGCTGTTAACAGCTGTGACCGGATCGAGTTAGCGAGTTGAACTCGAGAACCAGATCAGCCCAAGCTGTGAACAAATCATTAAGACCATTTTTGTGAACAGCATCAACTGATTCATTGAAAAGACTCACCATTACTTCTCTCACACATCAGGGACTAAAAGTTTGATTATTTGCAACTGAATAACCTTGGTATATTGTCATAGGTTTGACTCACTGATTGTGTGCATGTGTTTATACAAGACCAACAGGAAGCAAATCTTATTTACCTGTGGCTTTCTCAGGGTTACTGCACATGAAACAGAGCCAGCCACCCTCCTCTTCACTGTAGCTGAACAGATCAAAGAAACGAACCTCCTCCAGATACATCTGCAAACTGTCCACATCCTGAGAGTGAATACAGAGAAGGAGTGATGAAATTTAGGAGATGAAGCTACTCCACAGCACTGAAGATGACACACAAGAGAGTCATTAGCCACCACATTTCTTTTGCACATTTTAATGGAATAGCATAGACACTTGAAATATGTGTCCTGAGACATCAATATCTTGAGATTCTGTAATCACCAAAAAAGCAAGACAGCAACACACTATTGTTTTTGCCAATCCAACTACTTTGAGGTGCTCTCTGTCTGCCAGTTACTGTGGGTACGGTTTGCTGAGATATCTCTTAAAGGGATAGTTCACCCAAAAATGAATCTTCTGTGATTAATTACTCACCCTCATGTCGTTCCAAACCGGTAAGATCTTCGCACATCTTCAGATCACAAATTAAGATATTTTTGATGCATTCCGAGAGCTCTCTGACCCTCCCATAGACAGCAAGTATCCATACACGACCAAGGCTCAGAAACGTAGCAAGGAGATCGTTAAAATAATCCATGTGACATCAGTGGTTTAACCGTAATGTTATAAAGCCACGAGAATACTTTTTGTGTGCAAAAAGAAAACAATTCGTCTCCTCCACGTCACCCTATAGCGCCATTTTGGAGAGTATCACATATGTAAACAACGTATGCAATGTATGTACGCGGATACATTGTTTACGTTCAGATCAAAGCGTAAACAGCGTATCCGCGTACGGTGCTGCTGACACAGAACAGCATACGTTGTTTACGTATGTGATACTCTCCAAAATGGCGCTATAGTGTGACGCGGAGACGACGAATTGTTGAATAAAGTCGCTATTTTAGTTTTCTTTGCACACAAAAAGGGTTTTCGTAGCTTTATAACATTACGGTTGAACCACTGATGTCACATGGATTATTTTAACGATGTCCTTGCTACGTTTCTGAGCCTTGATCGTGTAAGGATCCTTGCTGTCTATGGGAATGTCAGAGAGCTCTCGGAATGCATCAAAAATATCTTAATTTGTATTCTGAAGATAAGGTCTTACGGGTTTGGAACGACATGAGGGTGAGTAATTAATGACAGAATTTTCATTTTTGGGTGAGCTATCCCTTTAAGAGCAAAATATTGGATGGCTAACATTTATGATAAAAACGCTACCTTGCACATGTAAACAGTAACAGCAAGACAGCTTACTAGTTTTTGGAACAGGTACACTATATTGATTTAAATGTTAAGATTTACACTGTGGAAAGTAGTAAACCACAAGCTAGCTTTGGAAGAGTTGTGATATGCTGTGGTTAGCCACTGAAGACTAATCGAGGGTTAAGTGGGTTAAAAGTCTTTAAGCAGGACAGACTTTTGATATAGTTATCCTTAGTGCTGTCCAACAATTAATTGTATCCAAAATAAAAGTTTTTGTTTACATAATATATGTGTGTGTACTGTGTATATTTATTATGTTTATATAAATACACACTATTTCAGTTTTTCTTTTTCAATAAATCTGCAAAAATGTCAACAATTCTGTGTTTTTCTGTCAATATGGGGTGCTGTGTGTACATTAATGAGGAAAAAAAATTAACTTAAATGATTTTAGCAAATGGCTGCAATATAACAAAGAGTGAAAAATTTAAGGGGGTCTGAATACTTTCCGTACCCACTGTATATATTTAAGAAAAAATTTATATTTGTATATTAAATATATTTATATATAATATAAATATGTACATGCTATATATTTTGAGTATATATTGTGAAAATATTTACGTGTATTTACATAAACATAATAAATATACACAGTACACACACATATATTATGTAAACAAAAACTTTTATTTTGGATGCGATTAATCACGATTAATCATTTGACAGCACTAGTTATCCTACAATCTGTCTCTTAAGTCTTTGTGGAAAGCCATCAATGGACTGAAACAGCTGCGTAATGACAATCTGGGATTTACTTTACGTATTAGAGTCAACGGCACAGCTAGACACCAATGAACAATGAGAGTCAACATCTAAATGTGCTTACTAGAATTTCCAAAGGATGTGAGGGTGTGTGGCCTTTAGGAAGAGCAGTCTGCCAAAATGAAGGCAACCAATGATATTTGAAAATTATCTGTTTTTACAGATATCAAAATAAGTGAAGTGACTATTATACTGAGTTGAGGTATTCTGGAAATAGATGATTACAAACATCACACAGAAGAGTAGGGAGAAAAACAAGGATTTTTCAGAAGTCCTTCCCAAGAAATTACGATCACTGGCTTGTACATTGCCTCCACCCTTAATGGGATAGTTCATATAAAAATGAACATTCTGACATCTATTACTCACCCTCATGCCGTTCCAAACCCATGTGAAATTCATTCATCTTTGAAACACAGATGAAGATATTTTTAATGGACAGATCACTGTGAAAGAAAAAAGGTTTGTTCTTGTGCATTAAGAATGTATGGCTGAGCTGCCGTTTACCATATTTGATGGGCTTAAATCATTGTTAAAAAAAAATCAAATAAAGTGACCATGACTTTGCAGAAGACTTCATATGGATTACTTTTACGATGACTTTTGATGAATTTTTGGTTGAATGGTCTTTCACTGGAGGGACAGAAACCTCTTAGGTTACAAAGATGGTTTGGAACAACATGAGGGAGAGAAATTGCGGATAATCAAACTACCTAAATCACACAAAATCCTTTTGTGGAAAATAGGCATAAAAGTTATTTTGAGAATACGTTTTTTTTTTTTCCTACAATGAAAATCAATGATAAACAAAACCAACATTCTTCAAAATATTTTTTTGTGTTTTGCAGATGAGTCATACAGATCAGTAAGTGATGACAATTTTCAATTTTGGGTGAACGATCCCTTTAAAATGATAAAGCTTGAGTAATACAGAGCTTTTCTATTATTTTCTTAGAGCTCTGGGGAACTATTCCATTAAGGTCTGATTTTCTACTTTCTGCATTGCACACAGTTTCACCTCAAGCGAATAAAGCCAGGTAATCATTCATTCCAGCTTTCTCAGACCTGAGGCTCAGAAAGATGAATGGAAAGAGTTTTCACCATCTCCTTCAGCATGGCAGCACATTACTTATATTAAGGTGGAGGACACAGTAAAGCCAACTTCCCCTGACAATAGACCAACGCCAAATTTGTTAGAAAGGATACTGCTTCAAGAAACCTGTTTCAAGCCCTAAGAACTTCCATTAGAACTACATGATACAAGTTGTTCAGACCTAAGAGTAGTCTGACACAAGGGGTAGACAAGAGTTTAATTTTCACCTATCCTGTAAGTGACTATCACAATTGAGAGCTTTTATTTCTCTGAGCTTAAAGCAAAGGCAGATGAAAGACCATCCATCATACATCTTATGTTTAAATTTCTCTTTTTGCTTGCTTGTAGATTGATGCAGGTCATTTCTCGAACCCCCACGGACAACCTCTCTGGCAAGAACAGTCAAGTCATCTTACTATTGCTCTGCCATAACTTATTTCACGCCAACTAAATCAGTGTAAGAATAGAGCAAGAAATGTAATGTGCATTTGATTATTTGTGCCATGAAAACCTTTCAAATAGCACAAATTGCATCTGATGTATTTTTTTACAGATGAGTCAAGTACATAGATCTAAATGAGGGCCATGTGTGTGTATGTGTACATGTTCTCACATGTGGAGTCTAGTAAGGGATATTTGTGCTGTGGTTTATGTTCCTTATTAAAAGCTGGGCTCCAAAAATCTGAGCTGAAGAGGATTTACCCAAATCATTCACTCTAAGGTAGTGGCCTTGAACTGGTGGTTAACCCAAAATAAGGTTGCAGGTTTCAGGGTTCTGTCACTTCGGTTGCACTTATTCTTAGCTTACTCATATATTGTCTTGTCTTTGTTTGTAGCCTCAAGTTTGATGATGCTGTGCACTCTCTCGTGTGTTGTGTGTGGAGCGTGTGGATCTCGACACTCCTGTCTGCATTGGTTCAGTCCCAACATTAATGCTTCATGTCTGCCTCACCTGAGGCCCCCCTTACCACCCCCAGAGGTGGTTGAGTGTAACCAACTCTGCACCACCACCTCACTTTCACAAGAGAAGGAAGAGGAGGGTTCCCTTTGCTTAAAGGGGTCATAGGATGCCCATTTTCCACAAGTTGATATGATTGTTTAGGGTCTTAATTAAAAGTCTGTAACATAATTTGGTTAAAATTTCTCAATGGTAGTGTAAAAAACACCTTTTTTTACCTTGTCAAAAACAGCTCTTTTCAGAGCATGCAGTTTTGCAGCATTTTCCTTTAAATGTTAATGAGCTCTGCTA